GTATTCAAGTTGGCCATAGGAGCAAAAGTTTCTTAATAGTTTATGCCAAGAGTCTGAGTGAAGCCATTTGCAACCAAACTAGCCTTATAGCTTTCAATGGTACCATCAGCCTTGTACTTTATAGTGTACATCCTGCGACAGCTTACGACCTTCCTCCCTAGGAAGGTATTATTTTACTCAAGTGCTCGCATCCCTTCACACATGCAACCTTTATTGAGGTTGTCAAAGTGCTTGTGCAACACAAGAAGTTATTCAAACAGAAGATAGGATTGATATGAAGGAACAACAAGAAAAGGACATAGAGTTATAGGATACAAAGTTCCCTATAGGATGCTGAATGCAAGAACACTTACTGTTGCATACAGCAATGGGTAAGTCCAAATTAGGACTCTCAGAGAAGGGAAAGAATTACCCGAGTCAGGAATAGTTCTTGATTCCGGGTCAGCATCCAGGGTATAATCGTTTAGAAATTCGGGTTGTACCATCTTGTTTCTCCTAATATATGTCATCAGCTCCTTTTCAAGGTGTACACCATCCTCTTCAGATAAAAGTGGTGTGGGAACAAGATGATGAACCACAAATATGCTATCTTCACTAAAATGTATCTTTTCACCCCTTGAAGAGAGCACTCATGACTAATAGATGAGAAGCATGCAACAAATTTAGAGAAAGTAAGAATAGTGGTCGATCCCAGTGAAGGCAGTGTAGGCAACAAGCTTTGCCAGTGGTATCCAAGTCTTGTCAAAGCCCGCTTCCACTTTTTCTTTGCAACAACAAACTCTTGAACGAGGGCTTTGACAAGACTTAGCAAACCCACCCTCTCAAACTTTTTTAATAGGATCATAACACTTGAATTCCTTTTGATGAGATAGATATCCTAAAAAAACACATTTGACAAACATTTTTGGGGGTATAGGGAACAAGGAAGAGTTTGAATAAATAACTTCAAGGCATGCAATTTATTCAAAAGGCAGCAACGAGAACGGCTTCAGACCAAAAAAATTTTGAAACTTTCATTCCTAATAAGAGAGCTCAGGTGACTTTCAACAAGTGCCTATTTTTCCCCTCAGCAATATCATTTTCTTGAGGTTTGTATAGACATGTTGCTTGGAACTCAATCCCCTGACCAATAAGCTAATCTTTGAGTTGCTTTCACACATACTCACCCCCATTGTCAAAGCACAAGATTTTAATTTGTGCATCATATTGAGTTTTAACCATTTTGTCATAAAACTTGTAATAAATTAGCAACTTCATCTTTATGTTTCATTAAATAAATAGTTGAATAGTTGTTCATCTAAAATAATCATCCACAAATGCAACAAAGAAACAGCAACCATGCACAGAGGCAACTGGAGAAGGACCCCACACATCAGAGTGCATGAGAGAGATGGAAGTATCACTCCTTTTACTAATGCTGATTGGAAATTAAGTGCTACAATGTTTTGACAACTCACAAATATGACATTGAAATTGCACTTGACTTAGAGACTCAAACATTTTAGGAACTAAAATTGACACATGACCTTGACAGGTGTGCCATAAGCCTAGGCAGCTGGGGGGTCCAAGCTGCTCAGAACCTGGGCAGCCCAATAGAAAGAAAAGTGTCCTTATAATCTAACAATATAAGTATAACTGTATAACATATACGAGTTAGGGATTTAGGGCATATCAAATATGTAGTACACAAGTTCACATGGTACACATTCCTCCATACTCTATAAGTCCATAGTTTGATAGTCCACTAAATCTAATATCACTGGGTGATGCTTAGATCAATTTCTCGTAACTTTGAGAAACCCTTCGATCTTATGGAAATCACCAAACACTAGTTTTTTGAAGTTTTTCTTTCTCTAAAATAGGCTCTAATGGGGTTTAGGTTTCAAATGAATCTAAAACCCACAATTTTGCCCATTTAATATTAAAAAAAAAAAGGACAAAAAAATTCCCTCAACGAGGGGCATTTCCACCCTTGGGGCAGGTTCCCTGACGCCTAGGGACAGCCAGCCTAATTTAGCCGCTTAGGCCTGGGCGGGGGGCCCAGGTCTTCTGGACTGCCTAGGAGGCTGCTTAGGCGTTGGGCGGTCTGCTTTTTAAAACACTAGCCACAAGTACACCCTTTCTTCATTAGCAATGGAGGATGTAGCAGTAGTAGCCAAGGCAAGATCTAGAGTCTCCAAAAGGCACCACCCTCCATCGTCACGACCACGCCCAAATGTCTTCCTCGTCACCAAGTCCTATAAGACACAATTGGAGGGAAAAGAAGTTACATTGCAGTATAAAGTTTTTGTGAGACTAACTGAGAGGAGATTACTTGTAGGATTGGGGACATGCAAGGTGGATGACAAGTTTCCTCTAAGACACAATGGGAGGGAAAAGAAGTTACATTGCAGTATAAAGTTTTTGTGAGACTAACTGAGAGGAGATTACTTGTAGGATTGGGGACATGCAAGGTGGATGACAAGTTAACAGGAGTAACAGACATTGTTCCTTGTTCCCTTTCCCTTGATTAGAAAAAGATAACCATTTGCTATTTTAACATATTCTTGATTATAATAAATAATATAAGAAAACATCCAACAGGTTTTATATAAATTTATGGAGGCATGCTAAGCTGATGCAGATATGCCTGATTGGCAATATGAAACTTAGAGGAAGGAGGGTCTCAAATGGAAGCATGCTGCTTGAGACCAAGAAGTTCTCTTTTAGGAATAGTCACCAACTCTTCTTCAAGTTCAAAGGTAGTAGCATCTTGTTGACAATGCATAACAGGAGCAACATCTTCACTAATTGTTGCTGAATTTGCTCGAGAAAAGTTACATCTAGGGCGTCTAATTAGATCACAACATGCATCCCTTGTGTGTCTTGTCTTGCCACAATGGGTGCACTTGTCCTTCTCATCACATGTGGGGCTCCCACGGCCATGTCCACCACCACGGCCTCCACCTCAACTCCCAAAACGTCCTTCACTTCGATTACCACTTGAACTTGAGAGTAGAGCAGATCTTTATGTTTCGCCTATAGGTATTGCCATAATTTGTGTGGTGAATTTCCTCAGTCTGCAGGAGAGATAAACCAGTTCCAAGTCATGGTAAAGTCACATTGCCAAGAACATTTGCTCTAATTGATTCATATTCCCTATTGACTCGCTCAAAAGATGAAAAATCTTCATTTGTTCTACCTTCTAGCTTTTGTTCTTTTGCACAAGATGAGCACTGTATGGATTGATAATGGCTCATTTCATCCCAATATAAAAAGTAGACAAGCATACTAATCTACAACAAACAAGTCCCCTGGTTAAAAACTACTGATTTGTTGACCCAATTCATAAATCTTTACAATATTTTTCTTTTGGTAATACGCCTCAAGAACTGCATCCCATATTTCCTTAGGGGCATTGCAGTTCATAAAAGTTCAACTCAGATTAGGTTGCATAGAATACAATAATCAATTCATAATTCCCATACCATCAGCCTTCCAATCCACATACTTATGATCCTTGAGATCTGGTTTTTCTACTCAACCTTCAATATATCCCAATATTTCTTTCCACTAAGAAATAATCTAACTGACCTGACCCATTCCAAAAAATTTGTGCCATCAAATTTAATTGTGGTAATTTGGAGTCCAGATTGCTCTATATTTCATTTTTATTGAGACATCTACTGTAGTTGAGATCTGGTTATACACCCCCGGATCTAATCAACAATTGAGATCAAGTTACACCTCAGATCTCTTAAAAAAAAAAAAAAAAAAATTTAGAAGATCTGGTCACACCCTCATATCTGATCACAACTCTTTTCTATACAAAAGAACATCTCAAAACTCTTCCAAGAAAAGAGTTACAGATCTGGTTACACCCTCACATTTGATCACACCTCTTTTCTACTCAAACTAACATTAAAAACAACACTACCAATCTTTTCTTGATTGAGGTACACAACCCCTAATCCATTTGTGATTTAGGCTTTTTAGGAAACACATTACCTACAACAGGAGATCTCCAAAAAAACTCACTTTGATCAATACAAATTGCTGGAAAAAGTTAGGGTTTCAAGGCATGATGACATCATCTACTCATATGGATGACATCAGCCCTAAAACACCCACACACCTTTTCTTCGATACTTTAGAATGCTCTGATACCAAGTTGAAAATAATCTAGGGCAAAATTAAAGAAGAGAAAAGTAAAAATAAGATATTAGAAAGTAGTAATAGAGGGAAAGAGGAGACGAGAGAGAGAGGCTTGAGGAAGAGAGAGAGAGAGAGGGGGGGAAGCGAGTGGCGTGTTGGTCAAGAATGACCAGCACGCACCTCTTATTTGTATTAATAAAATGAACTAATTACAATACTGCCCCATGCATAACAAAATAGGACATATAAGTCCTAAACAAATATAAAAGACGTTCATATCCATCAATATAACAATACTTAATTATTTCCAACATTGACAAGCTGCAAACATCACCTAGGGAAGCTCAAGAAATAAATAGGATCTAGGTATGTGTCTCAATGTACATAGGAAAGCGAAGACTGTCATGGACATATTAGCTAATCTTGCGCTCTTCATTGAAAGCTAAACAGTCGGATTTTGCCTATGGATTGCTGAAAGTGAATGAAATGAGAAGTTTCACTGAATCTTGAACTTCTTGAACTTCATTTAGTTTATGGAACTATCCCTTTCACAAAAATCAATGAACTCATTAAAGTACTTGCTAATATGCACAAAGTTAAATACTCAAGATATTCAAATGATATAGACAAAATTGACTTTCGTTTCAACTAAAAGACATCAGAAGTTTCCCTTTCCAAGGATTCAAGCTTGGGTGTGATTGGTAAGATGTTTACTTTTGCAACACCATGTCCCAAGTTAGAATCCTACTACTGAGCTCCAAATCCCTTTTCAGTGTTAAAAGATAAGGATGCATCAATGCAAATATACTCCTTAACACAAATACTCCTTAGCAGAATTTATTAAGAAACAGTACTACTTGTCATACTTGGGTAAAATAACCTCCACCGTATTGCCTTTTCTCTGCAGTGCACGAGACAAGCCTGTCACATAAGTTGCCAAAGATCCAACTGAAGCAACTGGTTCTAATTCAGTGCATATTTGTACAATGTGCAAACCCGTTCTGCATAGCCAATAAAAGAAAAAGGTCAGATATGAATAAAGATCATACAGATCATATAATATAAGCCAAGATGGAAAGTTTTCATATTAGTGGTTATGAAAATTTAGACAATTTGAATCTTGGGAGTGTCACTTGAAACTTAATATACAATTTACACACATGCAAGTACATTGCCAACATCCACATGGAAACAACATGAAGTTGGATATGGAAACTATTCAAATAGAAACAGTTTTTAGTTTTTGACAGCACATGGCATCTATATAATCTTATAGTGTACAATAAAAACTAGATGAAAACCCATTGGAAAACATTGGGGGGGCGAGCTCAAAATCCATTGAGAGCACACAAATATCATCATGACATTCAAGAAGTTTAAAAAAATAAAACATAAAAGACACACAATAAATCAACATTCGTAGTTCAATGAAATAATAGAAAGCCCATAGAATATGTAATTGTGAACAAGTCCAACAGTGCATTAGGAGTATACAGAAGACATGATTTTTTTATTTTAGTAAACAAGTTCTACACATGCAAGAAAAAACCCAACTTTGCACACATTTATGGGTCTCGATTTCAATTTCTTACAACATGAGCCTCTATTTGTCAGTATTGCGTGTGCACGTGAAGCAAACACACTACTTATGTATACACTAGTTAGGATGAGAATGAACCACCATTATTTTAGGGGACCGGACTCCATGAACATTATCAAATGGATCAACAGTGACATATCTGCACCTCAGCAATGGGCTCGAGCTTTCAAAGAACTTAGTTATTACAGAAAAATTTCAATTAAGCCAAATGAATACTCAACAATGGATACAGAAAACTTACCGCCTGCTTTGATCATAAAACCGCCGAAGACATACGAGCAGCTCGCCATCATTTTTATGCAAGTCATGAAAAGCATCTGCCAGCATGGCTTTATCTTCCATGACCATACTTCTCAGATCAGATGCCTCCCCATGGCTAATAGCACCAGAAAGGACCATTGAATCAATTCGCAAGAGCAGCTCACCAAAAATGACTGGCTTGTCCCCTTTTGGCTTGGTTTTTTCCTTTGGGACCGTAGTCGTACCTGAGAAAGAAAAGCATCTTATTAAAGAACGTAATAACTCTTAAGTTTGCAGTCATCATGGCTAAAACTGTGTCCAAATTCAGAAAATTCATGACCCAGAGGATGCAAAAGAATAAAAAAGAAAAAGGAAAACCATAATTCATACAAATGAAGACCCTGATTTGAAACATTCAAAATTTATAAGCCAGATACCATGACAGGCCTTCAAAAATCTCACAATGCTTATGTCCTTTAATTGCTGACTCAAGTGAAAAAAAAAAAAAGTCTAATAAAAAGGACTAAACCTTCTCCTCAAGTTAACGGTACTTCTAAACACCATTTACAAATAACTAAAAACAAGAAATACTTATATAAAGTTATAAACAACAAATATTTATGAATAAATTACAAATGAAGATCATGGAGTCAATTCAACTTCCAGGTCTGGAAAATCACCATCAAGCGTGCCAGACATCTTTTCTGACTCCAGCTGTTTTATTCTAGAAAGCAACAACTCTTTTTCCTTCTGAATTTTGTTAAGCTTCTCCATTGCCATAAGACGCTGTTTATTTAGGTATAGAATATCTAGACCACAATTAAAAAATATCAGAAAAGATTGACACAATTGAGAAACATTTATTTAAGGAAATGACTGTCATGCTTAGATAATGATATTTCAACAAATTTAAAAGCAGCTCATCACTATAGGGTAAAACTTTTTAAGGAAATGAAACAGGAATGAATATCAAGTTTTTCCCCAGGAAAGTCTCCAAAGCGGATTATAAACCATTTGAGGTTTATTCAATAGGTTTAGTGTTCCATGCTGATGCATGTTCTCAGGGAGGGTCATGTGTTTAGAGCAAGTGGCTGTGCACGGAAAGAACAACATGCATGTCATGTACGTTCGCACAATTTTATCAGCACGCATACATAGTATTTCAGCAATCCTTGGAATCCAGGTTCATCAAATACAGAAAGACATATACCTTTTTGAAAGTCCGAAGCACAAGATTATCTATGGTCTTACGAATAAAGAGGCTAACTTTCAGTATAATATTTCATTAATTAAAAGTATATACTCCTCCAGCATATATGTTGCTTAGGCATTGGGGAAAAAAAATGAAATGGAAGTTGCTTCTTCTTTGAGAAAGAGGAAAGCAGGGAAGAAAAATTTACAGAGAGAAAAAGCTGGGAAGAGAGAGAAATGATGTGTTTTCTACTTTTTTCCTCATTGCCTGCTAAGGGTGATTTGGTCCTACATGCATTGGGAAACTTATGCAGGGGATTAGAGTGGAGAAAAATAAAGCAAGTATATTGTGAGAGGACTTTTCCAATATGGGTTACCATGTGGAGTATCTTCTATATGGGGGAGATTACATAAATTTCCATTATATTTATTTCATTTAGGACATGGCACACCCATGTTTACACCCCACCCCACCCCCCCCCCAAAAAAAAAAAAAACCAACCAGGAAAAGAAAAAAAAAAGATCCTAAAAAACCTCCCAAACTATCATTTCCAACCCCTCTCCCTCTCCTCTCCACTATAACCCATAAAAAATCTCAAGGGGTTTTGACCTGCAGTTTATGAAGAAAGAAAGTAATACTTAACTTGAGAATGGGGTTGGGGTTGGGGTCGTGGTAGTAGCACCACTTGTGCCTCAGCTAAGGTCTAGGCTTCCATTCTCACCTAACGCATTAAAAAATCACTACTGATTTCAAAAATGGGTAGGGGTTCGTTATCCCCACTGAATTACCCAAAAAGGAAAGTATTCTTAACTTTGAACATACGTACCCCTAGCCAAAAGAGTCCAAAATGTTCATAAAAGCAATTGGCAAAAATAAGGGCATTCTTACAACCTGAAAATTTACCAAAAGGTCATGTTTAATTATAAGAATATTGCACCTTGGTTGCATCTCTTCCTCTAAATATAATGCTCCCGTGGCAATTCCTTGGTGACTCCTAGACCAAATTATTCTTGTGGTCCTTTCGTATCCCATAGATGTTCCCAAGTTGTTTCCAGTGTCAAGCTATATGCCAAGGTAGCCAGATCAATTGTTGATATGCTTACCAAAACTCTTAGAAAGGATAGGCTCGAATAACTTCAAAAAATTAGTATTTTTGACACATGAGCACAAGAAGCATGTTCATTGCACACGCATGGGATAGTGATATAAAAGGCTAGTTTTGTTTATAGTCATAGTGGTCATAAGGAACATTTCATTACGCCCTTTAAAACATGCAGCTAAGTCTTTTTTTCTCACTGAACAATTGAAAGCCCTCAGGTTGGACAAGCGCTTGGAGATTTGCTTTCAATACCACTTCAGTTTAGCATAGGAAGAGAAGTGCTTCACTGGTTCAACCAGATGGGATAAAGACTTCATGATCGCTTAACTGAAAAACTTTTTAAAATTCAAACAAATGAAAAATGAAAATCAATAAAATAAGAAAAATAAAGAATTGCTGCCTTCTTCAACAGAAGTGTTTTGCTTCAGTGATGAAGTTGAAGCTGAATTATTCAGCTTCTTCAGGGGAAGAGAAGAGGAGCTGGTAACATTGCATTGATAAATGCAAGTTATATCATGTCTCTCTCTGCCTCCCTCCCTCCTTCCCTCTAACAAACACGTCCATGCAAATGTATAAGCAAAACACAAAATACCGATCACATAAATAGTAGTGCAATGCATGGAACGGGGAACAAACAAATTCATGGTTCCCATTCAACTAATGATCTAATCGTCTATGAATAAGCACATATCTTTTTAACATGAAAACTTATTCTTTTCTAAGGAGTATTTTTATCATGGAAATACATAAAAAGATACAAATGTTCAACATTTTCATACCTAAAACAACTATGTATGATCTAGAATAATAATTCAGAACTTTTGGCACAATGAAGAAAGCATATAGATAAATAAAACAAATCAGACTTTTGGTGCAATGAAGAATGAAGAAATGAATTTTATAACATAGTAACAAAGTGATGCACAATTCTGTGTCAATTTTAATTTGATAAATGAACATGTCAGCAATATCCATGTAGAAAGATTATAGGAAGCAAAGGCTTACTTTGTTGAGCTTCATTGAAGAGCAGCCAGATATCGTTATGATTTACTCCCAATTCTATATCTGGGGAAACCATTGATGTCTAGAAGAAAAGCGACTCAATAAAACATCTGAAATGAAAGACAAAAGTACCAAAGATAAATAGTGGACCATTGCAAACCTGAACTGCATCTATGCCATTGCCCTTTGACCTAGAAACAATATAAACTTGAAAGATTATCACCTTGAACCATTAAGATAACAGCGAAAATGCACAACATAGTAGAGGCAACACATACTTTGTATGTGAAGATCCAGGAAGAAAGTTGTTAGCATCTTCACTATTCCTGAAGTAAAAGAACTAGTCAGTTATGACAGCATTAATGATTAACAAAAGAAAGGCAGTGGCAGATGCAAGAAGCTTGGTTGGGGGGTGGCGATCCCCCATTGGAATCTTGCCCCAATGATCCCAGAGCCAGAACCCGAGGGCGATCACCCCACCCAAAGAAGGGGAAAAAAACACCATCAAGGGATCTCTGTTCGTATCTTATGACCCCACTAAAAATGGGGGCACAACCCTTGTCTGAAGGGATCTCAATCCTTGAGGAAGTTTCAAATGTTTTTGAACTTTGAACTTGGGGCCTTTGATTTGTGTTTTTTGATGATTTTCTAGCTAACGACCATCTATCGACAATTTTTGTTTTCAATTTTCATAGCCGTGGTTTCCATCAGTCATTAAAAATTGGCGAGCTAACTCGGAATTGCCCATGCCGGCTCGAACCCATGTGGGTCCCCAGTCCCAAATGGTCCTCGACTAGGAAATTGCAAGGTTGTCCAGAACCGGATGGTTCTCACTGTAGTTAATTGCCTTGTCTTGCCCGATACACTGTAGGGACTCAAAGCGATTCCTACATCAGTTCATATCAGGGTCGTACCTCGTACAATCTCATTTTTTATGAGCCTTTAAAGCTATAGAGTTTCATTATGCATGTGTGTAGATAATGCTCAAAAAATTTGTTATACATTTTTTAATTATTTAATTCGCTTTACTATTCATATATATAAATATATATTTCAATTATTTAATTGGCTTTAATATACATATATATATATATATATATATATATTTCAATCATCTAATTCACTTTAATATACATACATCTATATATATTTCAAATTATTTAAATCACTTTAATATACATATATTTATATATATTTCAATTATTTAATTCACTTATATATATATATTTCAATTATTTAATTCACTTATATATATATTTATATATATATAGGAAAATGCAAAGGTTAGCCCACTAGCTCATATCTACATATGAGCCCAACGGCCTAGATTGAATCTAGGCCGATCTGACGGTCATGACCTCATTTCGTATTTTAATTTTAATTTTTTTCTAGAAATCCAAATCTCTTGAAATTTTAAGTGTGTATTCTTTTAAAGTAAGAGAATCTAATAAAACTATCAAAAAAATAATTTGTAAGAAATAAATTACCAAAATACCCCCGAATTATTTTGGTCAATTTATTTTTTACGAATTATTTTTAAATATTTTTATTATGTACGCCTTGATGAGACGAATGAACGCCTAAAATTTTAAGTTATTTGAATTTGTAGAAAAAAATTAAATTTCAAATACGAAATGAGGTCATGACCGTTAGATCAGTCCAGATTCAATATGGGCGGTTGGGCTCATATGTAGCTATGAGCTAGTGGGCCAACCTCAGCATTTTCCATATATATATATATATACCCCAAAATCTCTGATATACATATATTTATATATATATACCCCAAAATCTCTGATATACATATATTTATATATATATACCCCAAAATCTCCGATATACATATATTAAGTTGATTCCAGGCAGCCCCTTGGACAATGCTCCAAAGCGCTCCCAAGGGACGAAGATTCATCCCAAAGGTAATCTTCTATGCTATTTATCTCCTCTCTCTCTCTCTCTCTCTCAAAACCTCACTAAAAGCTCACAAAACCACCTCACTAAAAGCTCACAAAACCTCTCTCTCCTTATTCCTTTGTCTCTCTCGACCCCTTTCCTTCTATTTCCTCTACAACTCCTCTCCTTCTCTCTCTATTTCACCCAACAGGTCGAAGAAACCATCTCTCTCCTTTGTAACTCCCATTCTCTCTACATATCACGGGAAACCCCATAAGACCCCTCTTTCAAGTGGTGGCCAGGTAGAGATAGGAGCTAGAGTGGAGGGAGGAATGTGGTTCTGGTGAGGAGTATGAGAAAGGTTGGATTTGGGTATGTTTGGGGTGGCTAGGTAGAGAGAGAAGTTATACATGAGAGAGAGGGAGGGAGAGAGAGGAGTTGAGGAAGAAAAAGAGGAAGGGCTTGGACGTTTGGAGGGGTTTTCACAAGCCCCATTAGTTTCCTAAACTAGGTTACCCAGTAACCTAGTTTTCCATAACTATTTTGAACTTTGTTTCAAAGTCTCTATTTGGAGTCCAATTGAATCTGATACTAGGATTCCTCGACCATAGACAACTTATCTATTGTTGGGGATACCAGACAATTTCCCTAAATTCTCTCAAGTGCCCTAGAATACTCAACTTGTTCACCTGTATCTGTTTGATTTATGGTCAGTTCATTGGGAAAATTAACCTCCTAATTCGAAGCTTTTTCCTAGAAGTTGGAAGCCTCTTTTACTATGACAACATTCTCATCCTTGGGTGGAATTTCAGGTCTATCACGTATAAACACATTTTTTTACCATGTCCTTTTTTTCTGAACAACCACATCTTTTACCATGTCTCTCGGTTGAGAGCCTCCATTGTCTCAGACAATACATATGATCCAAGTCCATGCCTATTCTAGTGTTTTTTGTAAAGGGGATAACTAACAAAGAGAGAGAGCATTGTAATTTATTTTAGTAAAAATCTAGCTAACCTAGTATAAGCTAGCATGCGCTAGATATGGCCCATGGCATGGCTATTACCTCCACTACACAATTTTTTCAATTACTTCAGACATTCCAATCGTCCCACCCCGAATGACCCAACTGCTCCACTTGGCTAGTTCATTCTTCATTTTTTTGCATCAATGAATCCATAGGTTCCATGTGCTCCCAATCACAGATAAACTAGTTGTCGTTGAGGAGTCCCAACCATTCGATTTGATTGGATGGTGAAGAGACTTTTGGAACCAAAGTACAAAATAGTTAAGGAAAAGTGGGCTAAAGGGAAATCCAGTTTGGGAAACCAAAGGGGCATCTGAAAAACCCTCCAAATACCTAAGCCCATCCTTTTCTTCTCTCTCTACCTCACCAAACCTCTCTCTCTCTACCTAGCCACCCCCAACACACTCGAACTGATCAATACATACTCTCTCCCTCAGCAAAACCCCAACCACACTGCCAAGATCATCGTCTCTCTTTACATTGCCGACTTTCCTCTCTTTTCTCTGTGACAATCTCTCTCTCGAAAACTTGTTGCAATAGAGATGAGTTCCTATCCCCTACTCTACAAATCTAGAGAGACGAAGCCCACACCCCCTATCTCTCTACTCCACTCAATAGCTCTCAAATCTAAATGATAATGTTTCTCACTAGAAAATGCAAATCTAAGTCTTTATGCTCAACAGCTGTAAGAGAATGCAATGGGTCAAATCTAGATACTTGTGGCAGGTGAGGGAATGGAGAGAGGTAGAGAAATCCATGGTGAGAGAGAGAGAGAAATCAAATTTCGCAAGGTTTTTCCAATGAGATGTAGAGAACAAGGGAGGAGTTATATAGGAGAGAGGGCATTTTCTACTAGTTTCAAGAAGGTAAATAGAGAAATTGCAGAGGAAAGAGAGAGAAAGGAGGTTGTTGGAGGAGAGGAGGCACATGGGAGAGAGAGGGGATTTGGAGAGGTTTTAACAGGTATAGTTTTCCAAAAGACTGGTCTAAGAAGGGTGAGGACCTTAAACTTTCTCTTAACCCGTCCCAAGTCCAGATAAAGGAAGTGGACTATGTTAGATAGGCAACCAATGTAAAACTCTGCCAAAACTTTCCATGAATCCTAAATGTACATTATCTGCTTATGATGATGATGAGTTTTCCAAAAAGCGGATTCGGGCCACTTAGGCAAGCATAGGTCCTAGGCGCCTTTGGGGGGTGTTCATATACCTTAGCGACTCTGTGTGGGGTGTGGGGGGCATAGGGTAGTTATAATTCGGGTGTGGGGGGGGGGGGGGCAGGGGGGTTGGGAGAGAGCATAGGTGTCCATATGTGTGTGTTTGTATTGATCCTCACAACAAAAAGAACACTTGGAGGCCACCCACTTCTTTTTCTTCTTCTTATATGTAGAGAGAGAGAGATGGCTCACATCATACTTGGAGGTCGTCTTCTTCTTTTCCCTCTTTGTTTACATGTAAAGGGAGAGAGCATATGTATCCGTAGGTGAGAGAGAAGAAAGAAAAGCCTCACATCGAACAGTTAGAGGATGTCTCCTTTTTCATCATCATCATCAAAGCCTTATTCCAACTATTTGGGATCGGCTACATGAATCTTGTTCCATCATTCCGCTCTATCAAGGGCTACACCCTCAGTCAGACCATAAGTCACCATATATTTTCTAACGACTTCCAGCCATGTCTTATGGGCCTTTCCCCTTGCCTTTCAAGAGCATTCTATTTGAACAAAATCACCCCTGCCAACCGGTGTTGTTCCTAGTCATTGCACATGACTAGACCACCTAAGTCTATTGTCCCTTATTTTATCGCATATTGTAGCTACCCCTAAGTTCCCTTGAAAGTATTCATTATGAATTCTATCCTTTCTTGTCTTGCCACTCATCCATCTCACCATCATCATCTCAACTATACTCATTTTATGGATATGTTGTTTCTTGACTGCCAACATTTTGTCCCATAAAGCATGGCTGGTCTTCCAGACGTCCTATAGAACATCTCTTTCAGTTTCATTGGTGTGCAACGATCACATAGGACTCCAAAAGCACATCTCCACTTCGTCCACCCAGCTCTAATTCTATGAGCAACATCTTCTTCAATCTCTTTTTCTCATAGATTATCGACCCAAAACATCAAAAATAACCTCTTTTAGGTACTTCTTAGTCATCGATCTTAATGAATTCCTCGTTTCTGATCCTACTATTTATAAATTTGCATTTCAAATATTTTATCTTAATCCAGTTAGTTTTAAAACCTTTAGATTCTAAAATATCGTGTTCTTATATACTTTGTCTTTTAGACTACCTTGTTTTTCTTATTCTTATATTAGAGAGAGCATATGGGTCTGTGTGAGAGAGAAAGGGGCCTCACATCGAACACTTGGAAGTTGTGGTCTTCTTTTTCTTTATATAAA